GAAGATATCGGCAAATCCAAATGTTGATTGTGATTGGGTAAGGATATAGGTATCTGATGTGCTATTGGGCCACGTGTGTGTTTGCTTCATCCAAATGAGATGCTGATGTGGAGAGTATTGTTTGTGAGGGTGTTTCCATGGTGGAGGTTGAATGTGAGGAGGGCCACAAATCTGGTAATATCTCTCTAGTAGATTGAGTGGTGTATCCTAGTCAAATATGTGATTTTTTTTTTTAACCTTTCATGGACCCGGTCGAGCTCAATGCTCCCACTTACCGAGTAAACAACTTCGATGAAAGCTCGAACTCGGAGTCCAAGGGTCAACCTAGACCTAGTTGAGGAACATCGTTCATAGGCCAAGCTAAAAAATGCGGCCTACAAGCGAAGGAGGGAAAGATATGTTAACGCTCGGGTGAAGCCCCATGCCTACCATGTCGGGGACCTAGTACTTAAAAAAGTAAAAAAGGCAGAGCCGGGACCACTCGAACCGAAATTGGAGGGGCTTTACAAAGTAACCGAGGTGCTCTCGCATGGGGCCTACCGACTTGAACATTTAGACGGAATGCCTCATCTTTATCCTTGGAACGCGGCCTTTCTCAAAAACATTATCAATAGTTGAATAGGTCAGATATAAGAACTTGTAAATAATTGTAGAGAAGCGAGTGGAATCTATATAATGATTTTGTACAAGGTAAGGAAAATAGAGTCGCATCCCAAATTCAATGGTCGGGTACTAAAAAGTTACCCGATCAGACTAAAATATGACATCGAGCCAAAGTGAGCTAGTGTAATTAGCGTGACTAAGTGCGCAGGGCGGGTACTAACAAGTTACCCGATCAGCCTAGCTAGAATATGCCATCATGCCAAAGTGCCATAGTGATCATCAGCGTAACAATTGGGGCACTTTAATGTCCGAGCTATCGATCTCCTGTAAAGTCGGAGCTACTAGCACCCTATAATGTCCGAGTTGTTAGCACCCTGTACAATCCGAACTATCAGTTCCCTGTAACGTCCGAGCTATCGGCATCCTGTAATGTCCGAGCTATCAGTCCCCAGTGCTGTCCAAGCTACTTTAGGACTGATTACTCGGGCTGCCTGCAGCCGATTTACTTGAGCTATGCTGTGTTTGTTATAGCAGAAGGTATGTATCTGACTTAGGTAGAGTTAACTTTGTTTATATAATAAAGGAATCACACCATATTAATAGATTAATACAATTTTACGTAAAGAATAGAATTTGTTTCTCGAATAATAGACAAACTAGAGTAATAAACAAATTGGAAAGAGCTTTTTCCAGACAAAGGTGTAACAGTACAAACATAATTAAAAAAAAATAAAAAGAGAGAGATTTACATTATTATATTTAATGTGCAAAACCAAATATCATCTAACAAACTAACTAGGATAGGATGATAGCTTCTCCTTTTGCCTGAAAGAGAAATCACTCAAACTAATCTGCACCTCATGCTGTTGACTGGCCTCTTGAGGTCGAGGTGGTGGAGGAGGATTCGGATACGGGTTCGGGTTCGGGTTCGGGTTTGGGTTCTCAACGTCTATCTCAATCTCATAATTCTCGTACCTATTAATATCATCATTATCGTCATCATCATCATAGATGTTTTTTCTGTAATGTGATGAGCTATAATTCGAGGCCGTCCTAGGAGATGTAGCCATGTTAACGATGTTGTGTTCGCTGTCATTTCTTTGTCCATTGAGCAAGTAGACAGGGGACATGCTCCCGTGCATTGGAGAGGCCGGTCGGCTTGAAAAGGGGGTGGTGTTAGCCGACGGGCGCCCGTGTTTGAGCTGCTTCTTAGCCTCATGGTGCCATTTTCGAAGAGCCGATGCCACTGGCTCGCTGAATATCACTGGCTTCATGTTCGATCCCATCTGCATTAACCAATGCTCGGTCGGTTTTACATTAACTATTTTTAAAAAATAATATATATACATTTCGTGACGGGACTGTAGTTATTCCCCATATATACATGTACGTACCTGAGTGACCAAGGCATAGAGAGGGAGAGTTACGTAGCTGCAAATGAACTGTACCACGACACTGCCAAAAAATAAATAAATAAATAACCAAATAATTTATTTAATGAATATTTTAAACAAGATTATTAACTGTCAACCATTCTGTCAAAATTTGTAACCGTTAGATCAATTATCCAAGACGGTTACATGATGATCTAACGGTTACAGATCCTGTCGGAATGGTTCCTTAACGAGACTGTAACATTTCCTTATGTCTGTTAAAAGAAACTCACCCCATCGAAATCCGAATGACCAAATCTTCCACATTCTCATGGTAGCAAGATGGAAATCCATATTCATACTGTGATATATGTATATATATTTATACAAAGAATGCCAAATAATCAACATATATATAAATAAAACACAATTGTAATAGAAATTAATTTCAAGAAATAATTAAACTCACCCAACTCCATGCAAAAAAAGCAAGTTGAAAGGCGTTCTGCAATAAAAAATCACATCAAATCATAAGCGTTCACTAATTTAGTTACATAATATTTTGGTAAATATAAATATAACGAAATTTTTACCTCGAAAAGAATAAAGTGAATCAAGAAAAGAATTAAGCCGGGACGATTGAACCAGAACAAATCGTCACCCGGCTGAACTATCGGTGTGCCCTTGATCACATCTCCTCTATCAAGGATTCTTATTCCCATCTTTGTTATGATCACTTGTAATTTTGCTCCAATTAAGAGAAGTATCTGCATATGAATTCATATAATCAACAACAAACTATAATGTCATTCTAGGCCTATGGACTCAATTAAATTGCATATATGTGCCATTTTTATTTTCACTTACAATTAAAGGGATAAATGGTAGCCAAAAATGTGAATACCACCCTGTTCATGCAAAAAATAACAAAATAAATATTAGATGAGGAATTAATAGTTTAATTTAATATGCTAGATATTAATACTATATGTTTATTTAAAATAAAAGATGAAGAAATTAAGGAAATTATTTTTATTATTTCCCACTAACCGTTGGTGTTGGTGAGGAGAAACAAAACAGCCAAGAACCATATTATTGGGCTGCAAATTAAACCAATATATATATATAATCGGTATAAATCACAAAAATAATTTTCTTATACAATAAATTAATAAATTTACTTTTGATCACTAGCAAAAGATATAGTTAATTGAAAATTATGTATATACCTTATTCCCACAATTATTTTGAAATCTTCTTCAAGTGATCTTTTTATATACTTGTGGAAATTGAAAGTTGCTTGGCTCTGAGGTGTTAAATGTTCCTGTAACAATTCACACCAAATTTTTCAGTAATTTTTAATGTAAAACTTATAACATTTTTATGATATAAATATTTTTATATATATGGAAAATGTTAGAGTCTGTTACGGAACCATTCCGTCGTGATTAGTAACCGTTAGATCATCATGTAACCGTCATGGATAACTGATCTAACAGTTACAAACCTCGACGGAATGGTTCCGGACGGTAGAATCTCCCTATATATATATATAAATGAAATAATATTGTTTGGAGGACTTACTGTTATAAAGCCATGCCTAAGTGTCAAGTAGTCTACTTTCTCAACTGATCTGAAGAACTGCCTGAAGAAACATACCTGATTGATTGGATAATAAGAGAAATCAAGAAATATAAAGGGAATCCCTGATTAATTAATATGAGATGAGATAGCCTAATGGTTAGGCGAGTCGACCTATTATATTTTTTTGAACAAAAATACATATTTATACTAGAAATATTTTAATATAATTTATATATTAAACCATGTCAACTGTAAATATAAAAACATTCATGTATTTAACCTATATAACTGTAGCAAAAAAGTTGCAAGAAAAAAAAAAAAAAGTCTTACAATCCACAAAAGAACAGGCGATTTGCTCCAGAAATGCAAATGTCTGCGTCCAAATGAGGTGTCCCTTGCAAATCTGAATCTTTCAGGGTCTGGACCATAAATAAATATTTAGTCAATATTGTTATGCTATAAAATATAGAGAAATATTACTGTCCCGTTACAAATTATTCCGTCGGGATTTGTAATTGTTAGATCATTGTGTAACTGTGGCGAATAGTTGATATAATGATTATAAATCCCGATGGAATGGTTCCGTAACAGGATCGTAGAATCTCCCTAAAATATATTCAGAATCATCAATATTATTACTAATAAAAATATGCAAATTGTTTTGTCTCTCCTTTTAAATATTTTTCCAAGTCTATTGCAGTAGCCGAGAATATGGCCACTTGCTACAATTAATTAGTCCAATATAGCCATTTTAAATTCTTGGTCATTATAATATATATGTGCAAAATATATTGCACTTTGAATTTGACCACTATATTTCAATATAATTACATCATGACCCCAATATTTGTTTTTCAATTTTGATACAATAAAATAAAATTTAAATGAAGCCCCCCAAAAGAGACGTGTTAGCTAGTAAGGACATACTAGGAAAAGACAATGTGAACTAAGGATGGTTCTTAATTATACCAATTTGATTTGATTTGAATTTGTTTGTAGGGTGTTCATACACAATTGAACCAAAAAGAAAGGACCCTATTTTTTCAAGGGTTGTTATGTAACATTAATTGTTTGTTTTTGACATATAATTGTAACTAACGCATAAATAATTAAATAAATAAAATATTGGAACAGTACAGACCGTTGTAGAACTCGTATTGAACCGTCTTTGTTTCATCTTCCCATGATTTCCATTTCCTCATCTGCATTATTCATTCAAACAAAATATTATATAAATCAAAAAAATAAGATATATAGGGTTGTAGTCGAACCGACCGAGCCGAGCTTGGGCGCTTCGAGCTCGTTTTCGTTTACGTTCGAACACTGTTCGTGTTTCGTTGGTTTATTTTTTGAAAATAAAAATAAAAATCGTGTTCGAGCTCGTTCGTTCGTTTAATTGTTCGTCGATGTTCGAGTTCGAATAATTGAAGAAACAAACTTTTTAAATATGTTTTGACTAATTCAAAACCTATTCATTCGATATCTTGTCCGAACTCGAAAATAAAAACAATAACAGAAATAATTGTTGTATTTTAGATTTTCTATTAAAAATATCATGTAAATATACAAAAAAAATAAAATATAATTATAGTAAATTAATGTACGCGGACGAGCTATTGTTCGTTTGATTATTAACGAGCTTAATTTTATTCTGTTCGAACTTGACTCGATTAACAGCGAACAAACTGGAACGAGTTTTTTTCAAAAAAAAAACATTAGGTTCGCTAACTCCCCTAGTCCAAGATATCTCACAATGCCATTTTTTTTTTAAAAGACATAGTTACTATATTAGGAAAAATTATATATATAGCTTTCCTAAATATTAATTCACGGGCACCAAATATATATTATAAAGTGTTTTTTTTTTTTTTTTTTTTCTTCAATTAAAATATATAGGCTTATTAATTTACCTTTAGTGTTCCCAGTCCATAAGTGATAACGCTGTATAGAATATGAGAAATAGCCAACACAAAAATGAAGATATGAAGCTGGTGAATTCCATATGCCGACACAAGTTGCACTTGTCCCTGCCCAAAAATAAAAAAATAAAAAAATAAAAAAAAATTGAGAAATATAAATAAATAAATTTATAGTCTATTTGAGAAAAAATAAATAAATAAAATAAAATTACTAAAATACCCTTGCGAGACACGAATCATCGTATTCACTATCATCATCCCCATTGTAATTGCAAGGATGCCATGAATTTGCCACACTTCTTGGAAGGCAAATTCTTGCTATGTAATCTTGTGATATCGTCAACAGTAGTGATATGAATCCCAACAGCATAAGCTCTTTAAAATTTTATTCCCACAAAAACAAATTAATTAATTAATAATCATTCACATGAAACTTATCTATATATATATATATATATATATTATCATGATTTATTAATCAATAATTAGGTATATATACCTGCTTTGATCTTGTCAAGTGCTTCATATAAAGATGACTTTTTCTTTTTCTTTAACCACTGCAAATTAACAAGAGATCAAACACTCAATATTAATCCATATATATATATATACAATAAGTCCAATAATATATAAGGATAATTAAATTAAATTTATTGAATTTTCGTTATGGTACTACTTACTGATCCCGTCCGGTGGATAACATGCTCGATCACGATTGAAATCGCAACCAAGACGAAGCAAATTACGGCCACTGCCCATGTGGAAGTCGATTCCAACGAACGCTCGGTACTAGGCATTAATCCCTTCTTTTTTTTTTGCTCGATCAACCGAAGCTTGATTCGAATGAAAAAATAAAATAATATATGACTTTGATTTGGTTTTAATTAGAAAGTTGAGAGAGATGAAATGAAAGGAGTTTCTTCTTTAGAATTTGAGGTGAATTTTGGTTAGTATATATAAAGGTATATAAGGTGAGTTTATATTATCAGCTATGGGGAAGAAAGTGTCCATACCGTTGACTTTTTCGCGCCGTGTTTTTGAGAGAGTCAATAAAAGTAATTAATACTAATATTATTATTTTCACATAGACTGATGATTGAGAAATCAGAGACTTTTTATTTATTTATTATTATTAAATTTTATTATTATTATTTATTATTATTATAATTATTATTATTATTATTATTATTATTATTATTATTATTATTGTGATACTAATATTATTATTTTCACATAGACTGATGATTGAAAAATCAGAGACTTTTTATTTATTTATTATTATTAAATTATTATTATTTATTATTATTATTATTATTATTATTATTATTATTATTATTATTATTATTATTATTATTATTATTATTATTATTATTATTATTATTATTATCATGTAAATAGCTCGCTAAAGTTGCCGCTATTTGAGAAATATCTTTTTTTGGCAGCGTGTCGCTATTTGTATTCATGTGCAATTTAGCCGCTAAATCCCGTTAAATCTCCGCTATAGCTCCGCTATAGCTACAGTGCCATAAACGTTTTAGCTCGCTATTTAAGACCTTGATTATTATTATTATTATTATTGTTGTTGTTGTTCTCGTCGTCGTTGTTTTTCACTTTTCTTTTTCCACAATTGAAGTTGAAATAGAATTTGACTCGTCCAAAATTAAAATTTGACGCGTCAACAGTGGAAGAAACGTTACCGAGAATCATGTGTACATAATTGGGACAAAGAGGATGAGATCTTGATTAATTTTCAACAGTATTTGTCAATTTTGGTTTTTTTTTTTAAAGTTTAATTTAAATATGAAATTTCCATGCATGTACAAAAAGCTGATATAATAAGATCAGTTTACAAAAATATTAACCTATTTAAATCGTGGTGATTATCATGATAATTTTAAATTTTGTGGGGGTGTACTAGATGAGCTTCTAATATATATTTATAAATTAATAAAAGAATTATTTCTCTATATGATGTTATAAACTCGTTTGGATGTTAATGTAAAATTAGCGGATTGACTTTATTTAAATGTTTCACTGGTTTAATTTATAAACTATTATGTTTGGTAATAGTTTGTTTGATTAGTTTAGGCTAATACTATGAGGGTCTGTTTGGTTAGGTTGATTAGGCTTCATATTACTCAATTGTTATTGTATCAAGAGTAGTAAGTTATCTGGCTGAACACTTTTGGGCCCTGAAATTTGAGCTCGGTCTGGACCAATATCCCTTAAAATGTTATTACTTTATCCCACCAAATTGGCAAGATAGTGTATCATTTCTCATTTTTCTCTTCTACCCATCTTCTTTCTTCCTCTTATCTTCTTTGTTGCTTGCCCATTTTCCCCGCCAAATCCACGTCGTCAAGTTGTCCCACGGCGGCAACCACTACCACCAATCCCATCTCATCTTATTTCCTCTCAGTCAGATCGACTGCCGTCAGTTCCTTCCCTGACCCATGACTCGTTGGCTTCCGCTCATTCGACCCATCTCTGTCCGCTACCGCCTTATCCTCTGTCGTCGTCGGCCGACGCACGTCTGCCCAGACCCATTGACTTCCGCTTCTTCGATCCCACCTCTAGCCGCTGGCGCCTCCCCAGTCCCTCTACGTCGTAGCCTTCCACTCCATCGTTGTTGGCCCACCGCATGCCTTCCCAAACCCATTGACTTCTGCTCCTTCGACCCCACCTTTCGTCGTTGGTGCCTCCCTCAGTCCCTCTACGCCGTCGCCTTCCACTCGATTCGTCGACGTCGGCCCACCGCACGCCTTCCCAGACCCCCATCGACTTCAGCTCCTTAGACCCCATCTCTCGTTGATGGCTCCTCCTCCCTCATACCGCGACATGTCGCGTTTCCTCTTCCGCACCCTTCTTCATCCGCCGCCCACGGCAGCACTCGCCACCACTCCTTCTGTCGGGCTCACTTCCAGCTGATGCACCATGGAGCTAATTGCCGAAAAATTGAGAGATTCGTAGAAGCCCAAAAAGTGCAACAATGGCATGCGAAAAAATTGCTTTCAGGAAGTCGAAGGCTCGAGATTTTTTTTTCAAAGATAAAAGTCCTCTCAAGTGAAGAAGATGTCGATTTATAAGAAAAAGGCACCCAATCGTGAAACGTCGTGTCATAAAAAATGAGCGCACTGGATAAATAATTGTCTAAATTCGAATTTTGACAAATGAAACCATTCGAATTCAAAGAATCTGAAAATGAAATGGACGGACAAATGAAATCCCACATAGTCAAAAAGTTCAAACGGCACGCCTTTTGAGGGAGAGAAGGATGCAGACACACCTCACTATGACGAGACATTTCAGATGTCGTCATTAATGTTTGAGGGACGCATCAATTGGATACACGCGCATTAAGCGCCCTCTGACCAACTCAGACCTATTCTGATGATGACCTTAGAAGAAATGACCCTACCCTTCCATCCGAAGTCGGGGTCCTATATATTGACATCCAGGTTGGAAGCAAAGAAGACCGGAGTTTAGTTGTGAAAATTCATCAAAGGAAATTATCGCTAAGTACAGAAGACAGAGCTCCATGTCACCCCCTCCCCCCCCCCTCGAGAACCCAGGTCATCTCTTCAAAAATTGAAGTTTATCAAACGTCGACAGTCCGACCTCAAGGCGTCACCAAGGTCGGAGCCCGAAGGCAAACAAAATAGAAATATTATTAAAATTCAACTTGCAACCCAATGTTGATAGATGGGATGTGCACGTCGGCTCTGCAGACCTTGTCCACTAGGTCCCTAGAGTAGCATGTCCGCATTAAATGTCTATCGTTCAACATTAAATATATGTAACCAAGTGAACAGTAACCGAATATAATGTCTTACTATAAATAGTCCTAGGAATCTATTTTTGAGGGGGACTGATCGAATTCTTTGTAATTGGCAAAAGTTCTCTCTTTATACACAACTTTTAAGGCGAGGATCCTACCGCAACAGCCGGAAAGTTCGACATCATAAAAATCCATTATCACGCAAATCCTCAAATTAACCCTATTGTTTACAACTTTTACTTCTTATAATCTACACAAAATTTATAATTTGGGTTGCTCAATATCGTTGTTCAACACGATCCTCGGGTCTGGCCTCACACTAGATTCGGTTTTATTATTGTTTTATTAGTTGTTTGGCTATTTCTAGATGTAAATATTTGTGTTGTTATTAAAGGTTTCTACCCTTTCGTGAAAAAAAATAAAGAAAATAAAATAAAATAAAAAGAGAGAGAAGAATGACTACTATATAAGTTATTAGTTATTATTCAAAATAAGTAAATTCAGACATGGCTAATTTAGTGCATATCCCCAAACTATGTAAATGCTTTTAGGTCGTGGTTAGATACAAATATATCCGCTCAAACGAATTTTTATTTGTTAACCAGAATTAATTTTGAAAAATTGGGTATGGTTAGTTGTTAGCTAGATTTTGAGTATATATTAAAATAATATTTAAAATAAAATAATTAAAGTTGATTTGAAGTAAAAGTAGGAGAGATGATGTGAAGTGATGATTAGTTAAAATTATGTGAGAAGATGAATATGATAGAGACGAGCTCACGATGGATTTTGTGGACAAATACGATCGGCTTCCAGCGTTGATTTGATTAGTCAC